TATTCACCTTTTTGTTTCTGAAATTATTTAGAATTAAAAGAAACAAGAGTATGTATTTGATCATATACAGAGTAAGTATGTATATCGATATCGATAGTATTTGTTTGTTAGTATGCACAGATGTATGGACATAAGCGATGCAGTGATAGATGCTTAATTGTAAATTGACTAATTATAATAAAAAAGCGATTGAATGACAACGAAAATATGTATTCATGTAATTAGTGAAAATCATGCGTAGGATTTAAGAAATGATAGCTAATGTGTCAAGGAGATATGATTAATGGAATAAAACGAATCAACGAGGTAGATCGCGAGTAAGAGAAATTGCTCATCTTGATGGCCTGCCTATGATCTAAACATTTTCAAGAAAATATATCTATCGTGAAATCCTTTGCACAGTAACCGGGTAATTTTTTTTTAAGATTTGATTTTTCGTTCCGAGGTAAATATTTTTATTCGGTCACCTAATATTTATATTTTAACATTTTTATAGTTTTTATAGTAACTATACAATTATACCAACAAAAATATACATATATATTTTTTCCCAATATACCGTTGTAATCGTACCAGCACAAGAGACGCGGGACATTCAGGCCGCCTAAAAGTGATCGTCATAACAGAAATCGTGCCTAAAAGCTATGGAACAATATTGGAGGTTTGAAGAGTGAGAATGCCAAGTATTTATATAACAATTTACCTGAATATTTGGACGTGAAAAAGGGATACACTGAGAAAAGTGTTTAGTTACGTCAACTAAATACGTTTCTCATGATTTGGTAATAGTTACGTTAGTTAGTTGTAACTTCGCTTCGAAACTGTTGATAAAATATGACTTCATCATAATACTCCAGCAACTCAAAAACAGTCAAACTAACTAACTTCTCCGGTGAATGTTACCTAAGCCAAGATGGGTTTACCAGCTAATAAGGTGACAGTTTTTTGAGATGCATGCGGTTTCACTTGGACTGACAAGAGAAAGTCCGAGACCGGTACTAAATATGTGTCCGGGAACCCTCGAAGTTTATCAACTCAACATCAATTTCCGAAAAATCAGAGTTTCTAAAAGCTTCGTGTACTTCGGCATGCGCGTGGGTCTCGTGTACTATATAATATGCAAGTATTTACTTTTTGTGGATTTGCATTAAATTATGAATTCATATTCAAAATCAGGGTTGCATTTTTTATATTTAAATAGACCATGTTAGGCATATACAGTATAAACATTTGATCTGTTTTCAATCATCAATCGTCACTTAAATTGTTGATCTGAAATCGGTCCCAATACTAAAACTCTTAAATTCATTCACAGTCGAACCATTTTATTATAAAGATCTCGCGTACCGAGGAACTGTTAACATTTATCAGGAAAGCAGATAGTATCTAAAGTTTTCAGGCTTACTTATAAGGCCTTGTCTAACTGGTGTTATAATCACTTGGAACTGTTTTGCTGTCTGGCGATACAAACAAACAAACATTTGCATAATCAAAAACTTGTATTTTACAGCTTGGCCTGTGGACTCAAAGATCTTCTTCTTGGTGCGTATATGAATGCGTCAATAATGAATGAATGATGAAATGAATGCGCGAATGTAGAATTTCAAAAATGTGTTATACATGTGTGTACATATGTATGTAAGTATTTGTGTATGTACGTATGTTTCGATGTATTCAAATTAAAAGCGCACATTTAATTTAAACACATACATTATTGAATACAGAGAGAGATTAATTTACCTAACTGAACGTTTTTTGACCGTTGTCCGGCGTGCCAGTGATGCCAAACTGTGATCGGCATCACCGTTTAGGTGATGATGATTTATGTTAGCTAATAAATGCGTTTGTGAGTTGGCGCCACCATCGCCATTTGCCTCATAGCTAATGGAGCCCTGACGCGATCCGCCTTTGTCGAGCGCCGCCATATCGAGCAGGCAATTGAAGAATGATTGTTTCTGTTTGGGGGTTTTGTTTCAATTGTTTTTTTTGTTTTCATTTTCAATTTAGAATTTTGGCGAAACGATACAATCAAGTTTCATATTCATAGAGTTTAATTGTTGTTGTTTTGATTTAGTGCAGATTGTGTTCCGAATTTGTTGAGTGTTACCAATAGCAAAAGTTTTTAGTTCAATTTTTACGATTCCAGGGGTGATCAGTAGGAAAAATGGATAATTTGTATGTATGTTTTTGTTTTGTTTTTTTTTTTGTTTTTTTTTTTTTTTTTTGTACAGTGCATTTCCGGTGGCGTATTCCATGCGATTTCGGGCAGCATTGCAGGTTGGTTGTTTGGTTGATTTACAAGTATTTGCACATTTTGTACATATTTTACAATTTTGTTAATTTTTTTTTTGATTGTTTTTGAGATTGTGATGCGTAATTATAAAAAGAGAATTTTGCGTTGTGACGTGTGTAGGTGAACAGTTATTCGTAAAATTGGTGAAGTAGCAATAAGAAAAGTATTTTTTATTTATTATTTGGTTTATTTTACATGATTAGTAGCACCAAAAAAAAAAATAATAATAATAAAAAATAGATGAAAAATTTTTAAGTTGCATTCAACAAATAATAAGTTATTAGCTTAAATGTATGTACGTAAGTAGGTATGTATGCATATGTATATAGAGTAAAAGTGAAAATTGATTATGATATAAGCTCGTATAGCAATATTTAAAGGTTCGTATTCATAAGAAATAGTATATATTTCAAACTTACTATATATTACAGTTAAATAAGATGGTGAAAATCTATTTGAATGCGGTTCACGCTCTACGCATTACCGATCGAGCCGAAATTGTTTTGAGTTCGTTTTTTTTGTTTAGAATTTTCAGCAAGCAATTCTTTTACTAGACTTTGGTTTTAAATAAACTATTTTATTTATAAATGCAGTTTTATTTATATGTTCTAATTACATAGTTTTAGTTAATAGTTTCGGGTTATTGACTAAACTTTAGAGTGAAAAAAAACATGCTAAGAGCACTAGAGAACGATTCACAAATTTGACTGAACTATTTTCACGTGTTCATCAGACAAACAATGTGAGTTTTCGAGAAAAATATAAAAGTTTAAGGAACTTTGGACTAAGTGCATGCCGAAACTTAAATGAAATAAGTGAAATAAAAAAAGGAAACTTTTTTTTTACATGCTACCAAAATCAAATGAGCCGCAGATTTTCCATTATAAAATTTAAAAAAAAAAATTTCTTAAAAAAACAAAAACTTAATCTAACTCTAAATATAGGACATATGTATTTATTTTTTTTACTCAATTCCTTGCGCTGCTACACACTGAGATCCCGAATTGTTTGCCAAATCGTTTTGACCGTACCATACTATATATTTTCATATCAATTTCGCACCTATCTATGTTAACATATAATTTATTGGTCTAATTAGCGAAATGTTGATTTTATTTACTGCTTTAATTATTGTTTGTTAAGTAAGAAAAAAAAAATCGTATACATAGAAAATATGAGTAAAGGTAAAATTTTTAATGGGAATATATATGTATTTCCAAACACTATGTATTAACGACTAGACCATAGCAATTTCTACAGGGCATGGATTTATAAAAAAGTTGTGTAGTAAATAACTTAATCTTTATTTCAATCACTTATTATTAATAAATTGTGCCTCAATGGTGCATTGAAATAAATAGAATAACTAATGATAAGTGCGAGGGGTCTTTATTGTAAAGATGTACATATGTATAAGGGTGCTTTTTTCGTGACTTTTTTTCACTCCCAACTCGAAATTTTGTGGAAAATACCTAAAAAAATTTTAAGCACTTAATATTAATACTCTCTCAGCATTACCTCAATTTCAAAGCCCAATACATAACTGAAAAATATCGATGTTAGAAATTGGGTGTTCCGGAACTTTTTTGTAGGGTTTTTGGGTTTAGTGACCCCTACTACCTCGCTGGTGGGAGTTAGAGTTACGCAGCAATGGACACTTATGTATGTAGAACATTCAATTCTAAAGAAACCCTATCACTGACCATAAAATGCCTCTGAGCTGTAGAACTTTGTAGGAAAAAACTTTAGTTTACATGTATTTGAAATGAAAAATCTTTGCATGCATTGGTCGAGCAGTTAGTGTTAATATAAAGAGCTCCAAATTTCCGCTAATTTTTTAAGTATTTTCCCCAAAATTTCGAGGTGGGAGTGAAAAAAAAATAGTTGGGAAAAAAGCAGCCTAATATGTATGTACGTATATTTTTGTTCTATGTATTTTCGTTTTACGTGTGTCACTAAATTCAAACCGTGTGTTACTTTACTTTCAACGTTACTGTGGCCTTACTACTGCTAGAAGAAGCATAATAAAGTTTAATAGGACTTTTTAGTTTATGATTTTCATTTCAGTAATTAAAACTCTTCGATTTCCTGCTACATATGTGTGTATTTCTTCAGTACGGATGTTGAGGCTGAGGCTACCCAAGACAATGGGCCTTATGAATAAAAACTAAGCATTTGCTTTTTTTGAAAATTTTAGACCTTCTACTCGACTTATCCAAATAAATTTATAAAGGGTCTGAAATTTTAAGAAAAACCGATTGCTTAGTTTTTATTCATAAGGGCCAATAGCGAGGAAGGTGATCCTGTAAGCTATCTCAAAATATTAGAAAATCATGGATGTGGCTAGTGGAAGATAAACAACCTCACGGTAGCAGCACTATCAGATTCTTCCAACAATGTTAATCTCCGGGCGCTCCTGGAAATTAACTACTGCAGAGCGAAGAAAGAAAGAGCTACAGTTATTTCCACCTTAGACTAGCCATTGGTCTGGTGGTAGTTGCAAAGGATACAACTACAAGCATGACAATGTAAAACTGGAGTAAAATTTTTATAATAAAAGTCGTTAGAAGAAATTATTTTTGGACTTTTATTTTATTTGAAATAAAATAATCGGCCAACCCGAACTTTTATTTTTTTAGTCCTCTAATAACAGTTAAACTCGACCAAATATTTTTTAAGGCTATTTCAGTCCTCTTTTATTTGATAACAAATGTGTTCTATTTGTATAACCGTTATTAACTGTTATTACTGGAATATAAAAAAAGTCCGGATTTTTCAGTTATTATTGGACTTTTTCTCAAAAAGTTCGAAAAATAAAAAGAATTCAGGATTCTTGTCCAGGAGGTCCTCGGATCAAAGGAACATAGATAACTTTCTTGTACGACAATATTTTTCCGCGAACATCGAAAAAAACTATTATTTTCGGTCCCTGCTTCATAGAGACTCTCTATTAAAGAGACCTTATTCTCTTTCGGTTTACGGCCTTATTTCTCTCAATGAGGCTGCTGCTCGCTAGGGAGTGTTTTTATTTATATATTTATTGCCCAAAACTAAGTGTGATTACAAATATTGTCAGTGATCAGGAGTGTTAATTCTTCTGAGGTCCACGTTTGGCTATTTATGCTGATCGTATCCTTAAAATAGTGTCATAACGGCAATTAAATGGCAGATATGTCCGCCAGGAAACCGCTGCGTAGAGATTTATTAGAACTGAACCATTTATCGGTCTTTCGCCGAACTTAACCCTCTAGTAGGCCAATTTTTGTATGAGTTGAAAAATTCAGGAATGAATGATTTTAGCACGAGAAATCCAAAACTGATGTCCATTTCGATCTGTGACAGTAACTTTTTCCTACAGGGGAGAAAAACCAAGACCGTCTGGAGACGGGCTCGCCGATATACTTACACATATTTTCAGCTTTCGCTTACACAATGTTGACCTACCGGACCGGCAATGCCGTCTGCAGACGGTCAAAAATGCAAAACTGGGGTGTTATATGTCGGCAAGCCGGTCTGTAGACGGTCTGTGTTCGAAAGCAATTTTCTTCATTTCGAATGGTGACATAATAAATAAAACTTTCAAAAGAAAAATTTAATTACGAAATTACTAAATATCAAGAAATAATTAATTTTAACCGTGTTTTCAAAATCTGTAATTCAACTGCAGATTAAAATAAAATGGATTGACATAACGGATTAAAATTTACTTCGCCGTAAAGGTACGATTTTTATCTAAAGATCGTGCCTTACGAATATAGAAAAAAATTATTATAGGTGCACTAAATAGGTTGTTTGGTTAACGACCATCTGGAGGCGGTTCAGCCTTCTAGAGGGTTAATCAGGTGAAGTTATTACTTTTGTTTGAAGAAGAATTTAATTTTAATTTAATGAATTAGGGGAATGCAGAAAGTTACAAGCCAATCAAAGCCCTCATTACGGAAAAATCAAACCGAGGTCTTAAGAAAGCCATTACGACCACTCTAAGTTATTTTCCAAATTTTTAATAAAAAAACGTTTCTACAAAGACCGTGTGTCTGTGTGTCTGGGTAATAAAAAAACTAAAATGTATAATTAAAATTAATACATACTTATTTAAATATTTCTAAGTCTCTATATAAATTATTTAAAAAAAGTTAATATTTGTACAAATATGTGCATTTACAGGTGCGGCGCTAGCTCAAATTCCAACGCAAAATTTATCGACATTTGCCAATTCAAAAAAATTTTATACACATAATTTGGATTGCGAACAAAAACTTGCCGTCTTCAAAAATTAATTTCTTAGCCAATAGATACATGTATGTATGTATATGTGTGGTTATCTGTTTTAAAAAAATGTTGTACATTTTGCGTTGAAATGAATCAAAGGACTCAATTAAATAAGGAAATAGCTAGTTAGAAAATTATTTCAATGAAGCAAACTGGAAAAAATGTTCAAGTATGTACAAGACTTATGGAAAAATATTATTATTTCATTACATACAGATGTGTATAGTATTTATGTATGTATCTATATAAGTATATGGAGGCTCGAGCAAAATCACCACACTCATACAATCATTATGTTGGTAGAGGAGTTCTTTGTTGTTTAATAGGAAAATAGGCCACACTTCAATGTGTTGTTGTTCGCATTCGTATTTGAGAAAAAAAAATTCAACTGAAATTCATTAAGAAGCATTTTAAAGTAAGAAGCAGAGCAGAATCTAGCCATATGTATGCATGTAGGAATATATTAAAATTAACTGTGTACACATTAGAGGCTTGAGGTGAAAAAGGGGGAAGTTGCGTTATTAACTTATTTTTTAAGACATCGATTGAGCTTTGGTTGCTGGCCAATTTATGTATGCATGATGTAGGTACATATTGTATGTATGTAAGTAAGTAAATTTAGGTAGGTATGTATATGAAGTATATCAGCAAAACGGGTAAGTTTATGCTAAACGCAATACATATGTATTTATGCCTTTATTTATACATATATGCATGTATGCAGCAATATTTAAGGTAAATATTTAGAAGAAAAAAGTATATTTTCAAAAAGATTTTCGAGTATGTAAGTAGGTATGTAGTTAAGTGGGGAGTAAGTCATAATAGGAATACATATATACACGTTAGTTAGTCTAGCAAAATGCATAGCTCTAGGTATTTTTTTTTTTTNATCGTCGGCTGTCGGACTAGGCATACGTTCATCGTCTGTTGTGTGGCGCTTTCTCCGCTGAGGCCATATATACGAATTTTGCCAGCATGTTTTACGTGTAGAGGCATACATATATGCACAGTGCAGTCGAGAAGTTTTGGAATTTTGAGCGATAGTGTTTTTCAATTTTCATTTCGATATTTCGATTGTTTCATTCGTTTTGACGCGATAAACATATGTAAAAATGTTTGTGATAAAAGAACACACAAAATAGTTTGCAATTAATTCAACGCTCAACTTGTACTGGGTAATCAACGAAAATAGGTATGTATTTATGAAATTCTACAATTCGCTAGTAAAAATGTGAGACTTTAAAATTTTTATAATAATTTTTTTTTTGTAATTTCATTCATTCATCATCTCAGTTTGGATAATTGGAGTGCCTTCAAAATCATTAAAACACCTTTTTCAAATCCCCATTTTTACTCGAATTAAAACTTTGTGCATTC